AAATATTAGGTACATAAATACGGTAAATATTTGGGAGGGCTAATCGAAAACTTAGGGGGGCTTAGCTCCCCCAAGCCCCCTTCTAGCTCCGCCTATGCGTAAGGGTGGCTTGAGAACGAAGTACAGTAAAAACCTCCGTAAAATTTAATAAGACGACTTTTATCAGATGTGGCTTGTTTATAGTAGGTACTCGAATTCGGCTTGTCAAGACGAGAACAATTACACTTATATATTAGATTCCATAGCAATAAAGATAGTTTTGAGTTTTTCGTTGTCAGTTTCTGATGAATGCGAATCTTTTTTAAGTTCGGGCAGATTAAATAAAACTACATTACAGGAACGTGATTGTCTATTCATTATTTCAGATATTAAAACTTGTTCAGTAAGAATTCATATTTTTTTTTCAATTAGAAGCATCTTATTTTCTCCAAACAAAGTAAATATTCATTTCATCAAATCATCGATTTTTTTATTCAGTTTTTAGATAGATTATTATTTGTATTATTAATTGTTGAAATTATTTTACCTTAAGATGTTTTCAGTTTGTTCAAAGAGTATTTAATAGCGTTTAACAAGTTTGATCCCATAAAAACTTGATATTATTAATATAATGTTAATTTGAGGAGACGATTAATGAGACATAATTGATGAGCACGACTACTTATCATTTACTGATATCTTTACTGTGTGCTATAATCGACATGTGTGTCTTCATAAAACCTAACTATGTTGTAAAATAACCATGTGATTTATGATTAGTATGTACAAAAACCCTTTTTCGTTTATAAATTTTATCCCACGCGCCCATTAGTTTTTATAATTAGTTCATTACATATCTGCTGTGTGTATATCAATGATCTTTAGAAAGTATAAAGTAATAACCACTTACCAACACTTCCAGGATTCGTTGCACCGGGGTAAGTGATAGCTATTTAATGTTAAATTATATCAATTTATGTACATATTTGATTTATATAGTATAATAGATGAGTCATCTAAAAATAATACAGATTATCCCCGTATTATAAATATTTCCCTGAGAGAGGTCTACAACCAGTTAAGACAAGCACGTATGTCGTTTACCTAGTGAAAAAGTGGAGTTCCGTGTGAGAATACTTTCGCGATAAATGAATATCGAATTTAGAGTAATGGTTATGCTGTTATGTAATTATATCATTATGATCGTTCGATTCCGGAAGATGAGGCCATAGTAAGCTTAAACATACATTTAGCAAAAATATTTCGAATAATATTATGATATTCATTAATATCAGTTAACTTATTATAGATACAGATATATTTTTATGAATTATTGGGCTCCATAAATAGGATCCGTCGGTATAACCAATATTATGTATTTATGTGATAATGTAACTATTGTATGGTCTTCGGAAAATTGAAGTAAAATTGATACCGAACACATAAGAGAAAATAAGCAAATGGATTGGACAATGATTGCGTTAACTACATTAACATATTAAGATTTTAACTTTAATACAGTAAGATTTATATTAAATAAAATAAGAAATCTAGTTTAATAATGTGAAAGAATATTTAGTAAAATAATATTATTATCGTTCTATAAATATTTTTTGTATTATTAAAAATGAATAATTCACGGCATGTATCATAGATTATTAATTATTATTAAAAAAGTAGCAATGTCCTTAAACATCTTTAGAAATATACAGTTGACCGTTATCCTTTGTTTCTGACACGTAAACCGTACAATAAATATTCCCTACTGATTGTAAACATGATTGATATACGTACCCATCTTATCCAAAACAAATGTGAATACTACACAAATCACGTATTTATCATTGTAAATACCTAAATAATAGCTTATAGTATACCGTGATTTAAAATGTCATCACTCATCACCACTGAAAAATGTCGATGAGATTAATGGGTGTTACTGCTGTTCCTGCTACTACTGAACAATGTACCCACTCGATCTGGCTTTTTTGGCAGCTTTGACCTTTCGACGAGAGCCGCCCGCGCAACATCCCATGGATGCTTCTAAGGACGCGGTTAGCTTTTTCGTAGCCTTTGATTTTTGCATCGTTGAACTTTCCGTATCGCGACAAGTATGATATATAGGACTCGGATTTATATGCTCTAAAAACCTCAGAAATATACACTATAAAATATGCATTTATGATCTTATTTTATAGAAATATACACCATTAAACAAATAATATGCAAAAAAATCGATTACAAAAATGTCTTTTATTTTCATTAAATATAAATAAATAAAATCGAATGAAAGTTACGCGCATTCAGATTACGACAAACGCGACTAATGTATGATTCACTAAAGCCTACTCTATAACAGATTACCTACTACTTGTCCCGATAGGTCTCAGATGAGATAGAAAAAATGACTTCGTCAAACTACATGGAGTATAAATATAACTATAAATTCGTTATTTTAATTAGAATAAGCAAAATATTACATATTATGCGTTTAAAAATCGTATATATACAATAAAAAAAATCGTAAAATACAGAAATATGCAATGCATGTCAAAAAATGACAAAATATATGCAAAAATATACAAAATAAAACTTTATATTTCGGATTTATTGACTACAAATCAAACTTGAAGCTTACCTACCTATTTTTTGGACTGTTAAGAAAAAACATGCAAATTCAAGTCTTGACTCTAAATTAATATATAACTATAATAAATATTTACAATAGTAACGGTTTGTACAATTCTTGTTGTTGGATATCAAAATAATATTACTTTTGTTACTAGACAGCGATCTCTCTCGAATAATTCATAACGATATTGACATTTTACCGCTTGCGAACTTTTTTTTGACCCGATTCACCGCAATATCGTTATACCTACGCTTTTTTTTTTACAAATGAAAATAATTACATTTTTCATCCTCTGGAATTAAGTTAAAATTATTATAATTAAAGAAACAATAATAATTAGTCACCAATTAATCAGCAAACACGTTTTTGCTTAATACTTCGCCATAGTTTATTTTTTATGTATATTTTTTATTCAGCAAGAAAATCATCCGTCCTTATCTTTGAATAATATTAGTCAATGCGAAATTTACCTTCACTTTTAATGTAGCTGAGTTTTATAAAAGAATAATTTTATCTAGAATGTGTCTAATGCTATGCAAAAGTGGTTCTAGAAGATGGTTGAAATATTACTTTGTTTAATTTTTATTAGTCGCATTCTAAGTACCTAATAATTTTAATAAATGATGTCTATATACATTAAAAATATGATTTTTAAAATATTTCGCAGCTTTGAAATATAAATTATTATACTAATTCAACAACGTTGTTTTTGTCCACATTATAGTAATTTGATGGATAACTACTAAAATGGTTTTAAAAAATAATTTTGAGTATAATAAGTACTAAACGCTAGGGTTTTTAGTAAATTTAAATTATTTTTTTATTTATACATTAATATTGAAAAAAAATCATTCGCTGGGTAAGAATGACTGAAAATTTAATTTAAAATTATTTTTAATATTTTTCAACGTTTATTAGAAAAAATTTTAACCGAAAATAAAAAATAATTTATAATATGTGCGTTCAAAGTTCAAACTTTTATAGCATTGCATATAAACATATTCATCCGTTAAATAACTATATTTGGTAGTAATTAAAGAAAGAAGCTATAGATACTCAACATTTTCATCAAATATTTATTTTCTATACATACATAATAAGTTATCAAATATATTTCAACTCTTATTGAGTAATCAAGTTATTTGTGGACATTAGAAATTTGTTTCAGTAATATTTCTCTAAATTTCGATAAAATTATTTTCGCTAGATCAAAATACTTGAACATTTTGTATAGTATTAGTAATATTACAAGATCTCACAACAGTCACATAAGTACCTATAAGTCGTTCGCGGTGCGCGGTAGAACCGAAATAGTCGTAAAAATAACCGAAAAATTATCAATTAATTAGGTAGTATAGACTATAGTTATTAGGATTAGGAACATTGTGTATTAAATTGTTATTTATTTATATAATTATTATAGGGCTAGGATTTTGATACAAAGGTATCTTCTTTTTCTGGTATTTTGAAACGTTGATCCGTAAGTATAAAATATGTTTTGGGTAACACTGATTATTTTAAAGTAATTTTTTTGACAAAATTAATCTTTAATGCATTTTAAGGTATTTTTTGATGATTTTAGTGAATTTTCTCAGTTTTTAGAGCACTCTTCAACATTTGATCATAAAATGAACAACAATTATTGCGATTAACAAGAGACTTTCGGCAAACTGCCGATGGTACGAATAATAAATTATACAGCACGAGTTATCGTCAATAACAATTTTTTTTTTAAATTATCATTTTAGAATGAATGATTAAGAAAATAGAAATACAAAAGAACTAAAAAAATAACAACGACCAATAGGTACAATTGAAAAAAAAAACAAAAAAAGAATACACTACTGTAATATTATAAATTGTTTTTCAATTTTTAAGCTATAATACCTAAATATAATTTAAATGCATTTTTTGAGATTTTTAGGGCGTTAAAACCCCAGCCCTACATTTATTAGTTATTACTAAGGTATAGCCGTATACGTTACTATAGTAATATGGGGTATGATTGTACCATTAATAAAATGTGTCCCTACGACGTTACCATGTACTAATAAAAAAAAATAATCGACTGCCGCCGTGACGTATCAGCAGCAGCTCTCTCGCCGGCCGTCAGACCGTGCGACGTGGCTACACTGGGCGCTTACAAATCCCCGTCTGTCACGGCGAATAAAAACTTATCTCGAAAAGTCAAACATTTCCCAATGCACCAACTTCTATGTACGTGATATTATCATACTTCTATGACCACCGTACTATAATCATCCACACACACACACACACACACACACACACATTATAAGTTATAACAGGCGATTTATAGATATACAATATATATTATATACGTATGTACATTGACAAGCGCACCGTTTAATATGTATATATAAAATATTATAATATGTACCTACGTAATAAATAATAATAATAATAATAATAAAATTATATCTGCGATATTGTCAGCCGACGATTTGTGGGTGTTTTTTTTTCTTCCGTTTTTCATTTTATTTCGTTATAAAGTAGTCTATCGCGCGCGAGCTTGTGTGTGCGAGTGTGTGCCGATTGATAATAAAGCCTAAAGATCACTAGTCGCGTCACCCTTGGGCTATTCGGAAACCGTCGACCAGAGACCGCATACGAATTTTTGGCCATGCCTATGACGAAGATGTTGTCTGTCGATTGATATAGTGAGCACGGCGGTAGACAGGGTCTGTTTTGCTGTGCTGTTGGGCGGTGAACACCGTCGGCACGTCATCCCAATCCGGACACGATCGCTCTTTTGCGAGTCGTCCGCCGACAACGGATTTTTTTTCTACGCGGACGGCGGTTCTGAGCGTAGTCCCTCCACCGTCGACGACGACGAAACTCAAAAATGGTAAGTACCTACTGCCCGTCACTATACTGTTGATCAATTTTTTAGTTTGGCTACCCGGCCCCCTCAGTTGACTTTCCCCGTAGTACAATCTCCACTCGTGTCGGACCGCCAAACTATATGATATTGCGCGTTCGACTTTTTCCTAGTTTATGTTTTATACAATCGTTAGGTATTCGTGACCATCATATTGTAGTGACTAACCTAGCCGATTTTTAAATATTTATGTGTACCTTCTCCCGTTGAGCTTAACCGCGCTCAATCGTTGTTGTAGCATTAATATTAAGTTTTCAACTGGGTTGTTCATGGTTTTTTTCCAAACTGAAATTTAGACAATTACTACCTGCTGTTATCCCTAAACGTTTGATTCAGCTGATTCAAAAATTACACCTATTGGCTATTATTGATACTGAATAAGTATTCAATTAAACTAATTAGGTGATTTTATCAGTACCTACGTGCTTATTTTTAAATTCTAATAGGTATTTTTCCAAGATAAGTAATATACTCATGAACATGGCATTTTATTGGTGTGGTCAAATCTAATTAAATATTCTAAATCTATTTTAATTGATCAAAATATGTAGAGTTTTATCATCTTTTAAAATTCACAATACAGATTATATTGATTTTATAGCTTGAAATTATATTAATGCCCTTATAATTGTGTCAAATCTAAGCTTATATTGAACACTTATTTTTTTGTTTTAAGTTCTTTAAAACATTATTACTTAGTAGAATCCAATAGTTTCATTTTTTATTACTACAGAGAATATAACAAATATATAGTCTAAAAATTTATTAATCCTGTATTTAGCTAAAACTTACATTTGAATTATGTATTTTATAATCATATGTTTACATATATTTAAGTTACCTGTTTAAGTACAATATTAAATTAAAAAAAAAAAAACTAAATATATTTGTGTTAGTTATTTTAGAATAAATAAGTAGTAATAAATTAATGTTAGTTGCAGTTTATTGTTTTATTAATAAACTTATATTTTTAAGTTCAAAGAAACTTAAAATTATTAAAAATTTATTGTTGATTAACTGTTCTTTTCTAATCTTTAAATATAATAATTCAATCTTTATTTTATATTTCAATAATCTTCTAGTTTTCATTATTGTTGTGTGTATACCACAAACTAGGCCAACTAGTTAATATGATGTATCTAACAAAACACTAGTATTGTCATAAAATAGATTAATAATTGTATGTGGTGTTGTATCTTTGTTTTCTCTGTGTATAAGTTTAAGTTCAAAAATTAATTTGTTGTATTAATTACTAATTTATGGATTAAAACTTTTTTAAATGGTTATTTTTAATATACATTAACATGAATATTGCAGACTTTTTTTGGACTTGGACAAACGGCGGAGTTGGAAATAATCTTAGATCGACCAGATGGAAAAAAGAAATTAGATGAAAGCAGTAAAAAAGATCAAAGTTTAATATATTATGACGGAGAAACCGTATCTGGAAGAGTAATAAACTTCATATTTTTTATTTAGTATTATACATTTTTTATGATGATTTGAAATGAATTAATATCATAAATATAATACCCAATTAGACAACAATTAAGTATTTAACATTTTGTTTGCATTATTTTAAACAAAATAAGTGTAATTCTATTGAAAAAACCATATGATGAGCTAAATAAATATAATACTTATCACATAATATGAAAAGTATCATTATAGAATTTTAAAAATCACAGACAAATTTAAGTATGGTTAATTTTTTAGTATTTTTATTTTATCAGTTAATAAATGAGAATGAAAAATTGTATTTTTAGAAATATAAGGTTAAAATATATTGTTGGACATGCCGTGCAAAATAATCTTTGTAAATATGTAAATAATATCTATATCTAATTGTTCGATAGAAGGAGAATAAACAATACTTAGCGCATAAAAATCCATAATAGTATACTTACAATATTATGTTCCTTTATATGCATCAAATATATAGATTGTTTCATAAACAAATTCAAACTTTTATTTTATCATACTTAAAATACATTTTGATTTAATGTTTAAAAATTATTTGTTCACCTCTACTGTCTCTACAGGTCAATATTTCCAGGACTCATATTCATACTCACGAATTGTACATTTTCGAGCTGGACTTTTTTGTGTTTCAACTGAATTAGTTTAAATTTTCGTACTAACTTCTTACCTCAGAACTGTTGATGCCATAGGAGTTTCCACACATCCAAAAGTTGTGAAAAGTTTATGGAAAATCACAATTCAGCACTGACTGTTTTTGTAACTGTTTTTTAGTATGAGTATACACTAATAGTTACTGAATCGCTTCATGACAATTAAATTAATAAAAACAAATTACCTTCTAATTGAAGTGATAATATATGATAAATAGAGTTAGGTTAAACACTCATTATATACCCAAACGTTTCTTTATTCCAGCTATAGAATTATAAATATTATTAGTATGACATTAATTTACTATTCTATACAATATAATATTTCATTAAAGTTATAAAAACATTATTTTTATTATTTGCCTATTGAGTTGCTTTTAAAACCAGAGAGACATAAATACACACCTTATCCTACCCCCTATGTAAATGTTGTCATTGAATTTAGGCCTTCTATGATGTACAATAAATCAAGTGAAAAATAAACTGTTAAATTATAATTATTAAAATAATTTTATCACCTCATATTTAATTTTTTTTTTTTATTAATAGGTTAATGTTATACTAAAAAAGTCTAGCAGTCGTTTGGAACATCAGGGTATTAAAGTTGAATTTATAGGCCAAATAGAAATGTACTATGATCGAGGTAACCATCATGAGTTTACATCACTAGTCAAGGAACTAGCCAGGCCTGGAGAAATGTTGCAGAATACTTCATATAATTTTGAATTCTTAAATGTAGAAAAACCTTATGAAACATATACTGGCTCAAATGTGAGGCTGAGGTATAGTATTATAGTTTACCAAATAATTAATTTATTAATAATAAAGGTTTAAATTATGGTATACCATTTTTTAGATACTTTTTGAGGGTTACCGTCATACGAAGAATCTATGACATAGTAAAAGAAATGGATATTATAGTACATACTTTATCTTCTTATCCTGATATGAATAATAGTATAAAAATGGAAGTAGGAATTGAAGATTGTTTGCATATTGAGTTTGAATACAATAAGTGCAAGTATGTTAATTTTCTAAGAACTTTAATATTATTTATATATGTAATTGTTAATAAGTGTTTATGTTGTTCAGATACCACTTAAAAGATGTAATTGTGGGTAAAATTTATTTTTTACTAGTACGAATAAAGATTAAACACATGGAAATTGCCATCATTAAAAGAGAAACTACTGGATCTGGTTAGAGCCATTTTGTTATATTATTTATTTATTATTTAAGTAAAATGTATTTTTAATTTTTGAATTAGTTAATAAATTGTTTATTTTATTATTTAGGTCCCAATACATTTAATGAAAATGAAACTATAGCTAAGTATGAAATAATGGATGGAGCACCTGTTAGAGGAGAAAGTATTCCTATTAGAGTATTTCTTGCTGGTTATGATCTCACACCTACTATGAGAGATGTAAACAAGAGGTTTTCAGTCAGATATTTTTTAAACCTTGTCCTAATGGATGAAGAAGATAGACGCTACTTTAAACAACAAGTATGCTATAACTTTTCTTTTTAATTTAAATGTATGATAAAATTATGTATATTTTAATTTAAATGGGAGGTTAATTTTTATTCTTGGATCATTGTTTTCAAATATAAAATTAAGAATTATAAATATAGGCTTTTTGTAGATTTATTACTGAAATACTTCTAAATAATTTAAAATACAAATACACACTTTAAGAATAAAGTGAGCCAATATTTTTCATAAAAAAAAAAAGAAGAAAAATCCGTTAGACTAATTTTTCATTTAAATTTCTTATCAGTAAGTTCTAAAGTAAATTAATTTACAGGAAATAACATTATGGCGGAAAGGAGAAAAACATTTAAAAGGAATGCAAAATCGTAATGAACCTTCTCATTTAGTTTCTGGTAAAGATGGGCCTAAAGGAAGTGAAGCTCCACGAACTACAACTCAATCAGTTCATCAACCATCTGGTTCATTGGACAATACTGACTCGGAAAATGATCATAACCATTCCCCAATGAATGAAGGCGATGATGAACAAATACGTTCATCAATTGAAGATAGTACTAGTGAATAATATGAAATAGTAATAATATTGTTAAGTGTCTACAAAATGCCATTTATTTTGATTCCGAATTTCTTTAGAAAAATAAAAGTAACCAATTATTTAAAATTTTAAAAATAATAGTGTTTTATGCCTAGTCCTTATTATTGAAAAATGTATTAATATACCTATGTTAACAGGTTAACCATTACATTTTTTTTTTTTTTCATATTAAATTGTACTATAAATTAATATACAAACAATTTATCACTTGTTAAATACTTTATGTTATACAAAGCAGCAAATTTTTATACTCTGCAAAAGATATAGTTGTTATATACAGAATGGGCCACTGTATTTTCCTGTTTTCCTGTGTTTACTGTAAGGGAAAAGACAGTGGTTCGCTCTATATAATACCAAAAATTAATATTTATCTACATAAATATATTAATTTATATATTTTTATACACAGGTTATTTATCTGTTGATTTCGTAGAATTTCTATAGGTACCTTAATTGTTATTGTGATTTATTGTTTAAACATGTAATTGATTTAATTATAGTGAACACTTATATTCATTTTATTTTAATCAAATTCAAATTCTGAAAAAATATATTCTTGTATTTTATGAAATGTATATAATCATTCAATACATTATTATTATTTATTATTATTATTATTATTATTTTTATTATTATTATTATCACCTGATATTATTTTGGTTCATGCATACAGCGGATAATGTAAACAAATTACCTTAGCCAACTATTAAAATAGTCATGTTTACAAGACGTGTATTTTTTTAAAAAATTATTTATTGTATTTATTACGAACTATGTCATTTTAATCGTATAGTAAATGTATCATATATGTATTTATAAATAAATTTATTTATCAGTTTTTAATATTTCTATTAAAAAAAAAAAAAAAACAAATAATTAAATTTATAGCTGTGTGTAATTTTATAGAATATTCTATACTTTTCGACTAAAATAATAACAATCATAATATTATTTATAATAATATGTACATTGTATTAAATTGTACACTATCCAATGCTGTGAACTTAATAGTAGTTATTTGTCAGTGTTATGTATCACTAAATGCTCAATACTCAGTTATTTGTTGAAACATAGTAAACAAATTATTTTTGGCTTAAATATGTTTTAGATGATTATTTGTTAAATAGTTCTTCTTTTTAGACTTGTTTTCTTCAAATCCAAACAATCGACTAAAAAAAATTAACAAAATTGTTTTATCCAATCACAACTTGGGCATGCATGGAGTTGGGTTAAATAAATAAAAACCGAATAAAATTAAGTTTTAGTACAAGTATGAAGTAATTTGAATTCACGTATTAAGTTGATTTTTATACAATAATACAATATTAACATTATAGTTGATCTTATTATTCCTATTAGGTTTTTAAAAATATTTTTTTTTACCAAGTCCAAGATTGTCTGATTCCTTAATTATTAAAATTTTGAAGCCTTGTCGCTTGTAACAGTTGGAGGGACTTAAGAGCCACATTTATGGTCCTATCATGAAAATTGAAGTATCATTGATGACATAGGTAATAGCTAAGGCTAGGATAGTATAGGATTTTGCATTTTTTTTTTTACGATTTACAGAATATAGCTTTTCAAGTAATTAATGAGATTTGGTCATCTATAAGTTCAAATATATAGTTTTTATTTTGCATTTTATGTACATTTTTTAATTTGAGGTAATTTTTTAAATTTTACTGGCACTTTTTATACTTAATTTAAATCTGGTAATATTTTTATAAATTTTTAAATAGATTTTTTAAATGGTGATTATAAATTATTGTACAAACATACTATAAAGATGCAATATAAAAATAAAATTATAAACAATATTTTTTAAAAATATTTAATATTTCAAAATACCAATCATTTATATAATATAAAACATACTCGTTGGACTACCTAGCAATAACCGATAAAAATGTTCGATTACGTGTTATCCTTATCAATTTACTGTTAAATTTAAATTTTAGTTTTACAATATTATTTTATTTCAAAATATATTAATTTCAGAACAAATGACGCTGGCCATTATATCAGAAGATGAATTTGTTTGTATACTTGAAAATAGAAATTATTATTTATTAATTTATTTTACAATTATTTTATGAGGTCATTTTTTCTATTGAGTTATTTTTTTGATCTTTTTTTAGGCTTTACGGGTCATTAAAATGTTGTATAACATCACGTGCAGATGATAATAATTACCTAGTTGATGTATTAGAACTATAATTATTATGTATATAAGTTGTCTCTTATCTATGTGTAGTATTTTGACAGCTAAATATTCGTTTAAAACAGTAACCGTTGTAATAAATTTGTTTTCAATTAAAAATTAGGAGATTAGGTATAACATGGTATTTTTTATTTTTTTTTTTGAAAGCCCGAAATATTTCCTTGCTTAAAGGTTCAAAGCTCAGTCCCGACGTTTTAGTAATTTTGTAACAGATTTCATACCAGTATGCGTGTGCAAAAAAAATAATAATCCATGGTCACTTATAGTCTGCTGGAGACGAAATGGGAATTTGGTAGCCCTCGTAGAGTTAGGCTCTAAACATCAGCGGTTCACAAAATATCACTAGAAATACTAGAAAATGTGGTAGACCGTCGCCGTTATCCGTTTGTTGTTATAGAAATCGGTACGATACATTATAATTTAGATCACACATGCTCTTTTTATTATAATATTACAATACAATATATATATATATGTGTTATGTGTACCTATGTATAATGGGCACCACCTCCCACCTGCGTGTGTTTTAATTAGTAACTCGAAAAGCGCACTAGGTCGTCATAGCCACGCAGAAAAATACCGTTGTAGACTTCACAGTTTACAGTGTCGTAGGCAAGAAAAAACTATCTAACCGACCGTCGACGCGCATATTGATAGTTTTTACAGCCGTCTGTATCGATTCGCTCTCTCATCATAATAAACCTATACGGCCATACTTAATATTGAAACACAGATTTAGGTACACCGTTTGAAGTTGAACAACGCTCGAGAGATACGAAGTTTGCCGTGTTCAAGACGTGTCCACTGCACATACCAATACGTACCCATGGTTCCAGTGCGGCAGTCGTCGAGTATAGGTAGGTACCGTTGCAGACCGTCTACCCGTACGGCCGTACGCCTTATACCACGACTGTAGTATAATATATCCTACTACGCATATCAATTGGCTGTTTATTTTTATTTTTTTCATCGCACAGGTAGATAATTTCGAATCAACCAACAGCTACAAGTCGCACAGGTGGGTGTACGAGAAACAAGAATAATTCTCACCTTTGCGCGACTCGTGCGTCGACGATGATGGGTTCGACCACAGACGTCGTGGCCGAGTACGATGGTCTGCAGGGCGGCAAATGGGTGTCGTTGACGTGCGACAGCGATCGGTTCGACATCGACGGCGGCCGCGTCCGTTGTCTGTACACGGTGGCCGATTACGCGGCCGCGGTGGACGGGACGGCGGTGATCGTCGTGCCGGCCGCGTTCCGTTGCGCGTCGCAGATGGTCGCTCACGCCGTCCTGCCCGACGGCCGCGGTCGCGGACGCGTCGAGGTGACCGTCCGCCGTTGGGCCGTCCGGTGCTCCCGACCGTACAGGTTCGCGTACGTCGACGGCTGGCGCTACGATGTGATGACCGTCAGCGGCGCGTTCACGTTCGTCCACAGCAGCGGTGGACCGTGCGATTGCGACGCCGATTTTCGAATGGAACAGCCGACGGCCGGGCCGCAGGCCAACGGTCGTCGCGCGGCCGACCACGCGATGAGCGCGTTCGTCTCGGCACTGTTGGACACGCGGTCCAGCGCCTGTTCGCACTGTCCAGTCTGCAACGTGCCGTCCAATCACCGACAGGTGTTGGACTACCTGACGACGAACATCGATCGGCTGTCCGACATTCATTCGGCCATCGACAAGGAACACGTCAAGTAGGTATTCCCGAATGCATAATAATGTGCGAAATATTTAAAACGGCCCGCGCGTAAACCTGTTACACGCGTTGTGTATTATTGACCCGCAAAACATAATATAATATATTATACTCGGAAATGAAGATGATACAGTTACGGCGGGGTCCAAAGGTCATAACCGTTTTTCCACCAAATGATGTGCGTTTTCCAATTCCACTTGATGTCCACCAGAACAATTATTTCTATACGCAATTAAAAGCTGCTGCAGTTGTATACATATACGTACACGTACCTATAATATTTTCTTATTTTTCAATTTTTATTTTGTCGTAACATATTTTGACTTTTTTCGAGCTATCTATTGACATTGGAAATTTTAGTTGTTTTTTTTTTACAAAAATTTATAAAAAATTTACGCAATCGCCTTCGGCTCCGCGCGCGGCCCTCACTCTTTATACGACATATCTGATATCAGTAATCGTCCCGTTGGCAGCTATTACTTATTTTAAGTAAATAATAATTAATTACTCACTTATTGGGTATTTGTGACATTTAAATAATAAAAATGCTATAGACAATACATTTATATTATATATATATACTATACATATTTAAAGCACAGACAAATTGCGTTAAAAACCATCGCCTAAATATCTGCAGTTACATTTTTTGTAAAAACAGGTTACACCTTGACTTTGGAATAACTAGTTATACAGTATACTTATTTAGGCAAGCTGAATGTTTGAAAGAATGCTCTTCATTACTGGATTACCAGTATATCAAAACAAAAATGTTAAATAGAGAAATGGAAAACTGTAATCGATTTGCAGACGATCTATTATCGAATCTATTAAAAAACCGCAAAGCTATTTTCAAGACAGGCATTCATACAATTTACGTTAAGATGGACGAAACTTCCGAAAAAGAACTTTCTACCGAAGAATTTTTCATGAGCTCCATTATTAATTCACAAAAACAAACGATTGTGAAGTTGACGTCAATTTACAAAGAAATAACCATTATGATGAATACGATGCAATTGTTTGAAAAAATAACGTAATCGTTTGCATGTAAAATAAGTCTAAAACTAATTATGTTTATTTCCTATTTATGATTAATTATTAAAATATAAGCAAACTTGGAAATCTAATTCGTTGCTGCTTTATTATTTATTAATAAAATTAATAATTATAACTAATAAACAGACAGTCCCGCCAGTCATCACTCCTCTTTTCATTTTATTAAACATTGTTAAAGTTAGTTTTTTTGCGGAACTTGTTAAAAAAAAAATTGTCAGTATTTATTTTTGATTTTTAAACTGATTTAAACATTAGTTCTTTATGTCTTTCTAAAGAATAATTTATTAGTTTCCAACCTGCAAATGAAAATTATACATTAAAACATAACTATTATTCCTAGTTAGTAATTTTAACACTTTTTATATGATAAAATTTAATAGAAGCAATATTATCCACTATTTCGACCCTCGAAAATCTGTAATTTTTTATGTATTTATTTAAAGAATACAATTGTTTCTTATTAATTCATAATCGTCAATATCATTGAATTTAAATACCTGTATAGTGTATTTAATAGTAATACAAAGGGGCTTGTTTTGCTTTTCTAATATTAATTATTAAATATTAATATTGCTATTAAGTGTTCCCCTTTTGGATATGAAAACTATGGTCACATCCAAGATGATGCTATAGCTATTGTGAAATTATGCAGCACAAAAATAATAAAATAATATTATACTTAACTATTACAATTATTAAAATATTATTATTGTATTTGCATGTATCAATGTATCATAATTAGTGGCATGCTATTAGAACAAGCTAGATAAAGTACCGCATGTCCTTTTAAAAAGGTACCTAAAAACAAATTAATTTCTAATTATTCTAATAAATTATTATTATTTCATTTTAAAGTATTTAATGTATCATCTAGTTTTAAAAATTCACTATTAAATATTTATTTATTTAGAATATATCTTTAATCTTAGTAGTTAGTAATCGTTTATATTGGAGACCATAAAACCTATCAAAGCTTCGCTTTAATCAGTATTTTGTATTGTTTTGGTTCAATGCCAGCATAACAACTTATAACTATTACAGCAAGACAGCATTTTCCATTTTAAAATTTCTTTATGTGTAATGTGTACATAATGTTTGTTTTTAATTAGTTTGAGTTTGCCTAACAGCTTTTGCCATATGCATGGGCATGGATGCAGCGAATGCTTCTTTCGCTCCACCTGAAAAAAATGTATTTAGGATTTAGTGGACTAGTGTTTATAATGAATATTTATTTAAAAGCTTACATAGAATGAATTATTTTAAATGTTTTGAATTTAAAATAAAATTAAAATATAAATATTCAATAATTTAAGGCCCGTGCAAACATGTCATTTTTAAGATGTTTAGTCGATTTTTTCATTCCTTGCTCGTCGTGAATGATGTAATAAATGATCATTAGTATAAATATACTCTCCAACCACGGATATATAAATATTAAATAGTAATAGTAAATACTACTATACTAGTATCTCCATCTAACCATGTCTTCAATCATAATCTGCCCTATCAATGCACTGTTTATTGTTTATTTCTTACGTGGTTTTTCGACGGTCGTAAATAAATACAACTCGTAGATATTATAAATGTATTGTAATATGGTATGTACTTATTTCCTATATTAAAATTTGCGATTTACTACACATATTTTAACATTAACATACATGATTACATAGTATTTATAAACAATGGTATTGTATAATATAATTGGCATATGCATAATGCATGTATTTATCTATTATTGAATTTAGTAACATAATTAGTATATCATAATACTATTAAAAAATAAAAAATGGTAATTTTAGGTTATCGCAACTACGTATATTTCTAGGTCTTCCATAGAAATGAAGTACAACAAAAATGGAAATTCTATTTCTACGGAAATAGAACCTAACTCACGTAATAAAATATGTTGGATAGAATATACCATAATGACAGTTCACTCAGTTCACTTGGTTTACTCTTTAATAGATAATTGTCGAGAGTAGAGACACTAGAGAGTACTATAGAAAGAGTAAAATTTTCTTCTACAAAACTACCTAAATTTAATCGTCTTATTTAAAGCTTTGTATAACATCGTGTTCAATCATCGCGATATATTATTGTAATTTATGTTTGCGGATTTCTCTCGGCTGTTATATGACCGAATATAGATTTACATATATATCTGTTTTGTCCGACTTGCGCAGCGAATATACATTTACCAAAGTTTTCGAGTGTATCGGTGTAAAGGTCAGATCTGGTGATTACGATGAAAATATGCAAATAATATGGGTTCAAAACGTCAACGAATTTATGCCCGAAATTGTATATGAAAACAAAAAATTAAAACAGTCTGGTGGACAAGTTTAGGCAGTGTAGCTGAGGTGAAAGGAAATATTATACTCCACCCGGGTTGAATGAATGGCAATAAAACGATATATGACAGCCTGTGCGCAAAAAAGAAATTGTATCTTAATATTCTTAAGTACCTATTCGTAAAGCCTTTCCTCCCCAAAAATTTTTTTTTACCTTTTAACCGACTTTATAAAGTCGAGTATGTGAGTATTCCATTTGTTTGATTTTTAGTCGTTATTCGCATGTGTATTATAATAATGGGTTTGAGTTACAATTTTTATTTCAGAACTCAGAACTTCCACACAGTCAAACTTAACCCACCGTTGTTCTCATCGTTTGGTATTCGCGAACAATGGACACGAATTAAGTATTCACGAAAGCCTTCGAATCTTCAACAGTCACATATTCGGACCACCTGCAGTGTTAGGTATGCGGTCGACTTCGTCACACGCACGAAATTTACCTATACATATGCCCTCGCCATTTTCCCGAGTCACTATAAACAATCACTAATTAATTTTTAAATATTAGTTTAATGTTAGTGCTTACTATATTACAACGTTTGTATAGGCATCATCAGCGGTGTGACGAGAGACGCATCATATTATAATATAGTCACATGCCACGTAAATTCGAAGTTCCAGAAAATCCAAGCCTGTCATTCATCATTTACGAATAGATACCGCGATTTAACGTGATTGTATAATTTGAAGCCATTACATATTTGCATCGTTTTTCTGTTCTTCAGTGTATTGCACATTCAAAACGTACGTCAACTGTGGAGCGAATGGAATAAACTATACATCAATATACCGACGTACAATAAATTGGCCAAATTAATAGCTTTACTTTAAAATGGGATATTTTAAGATCCTATAATTTATACTTATTAAATCACAACAAAATAGTAAAAAATATTTGAGTAAAAATCGTTATTTACGTTAAAAAGTACCAAATTTGCTTAAATTTTTTTATATTATGGTAAAAAAAAATAACATGAGATTTTAGATTAGAGAAAACTTATGTTATTCAATTTTCAAATCTTATAGCTATTAAAATAGTAAATGTCTAATAATTGTTTAACTATAAAATAATTAAAAGATTTCGTGACTTTGAATGTTTGTAAAAAAAAATTATAGCTAGAATAAGTAAATACACATTGTTGTATGACCAAAATATTTATTGTTCCTCTTGAAATTTTAAATTTGTCATTCATGAGTAATTTCTATAACTCTAATATTATAAAGTAAATATTAAGTTTAAGTTTCTATATAATTGTAATATTGTTTTCGTTCGAAATTTGATATAATACAAGCTTACGAATATGCAATACAAAAACTAACCTAATTATTGAACCTAAGTTTAACGAAAACAAATTAATGATGTTTGAAAGAAAAATTTTGCAAGTATTTGCGTCAAAGATAAAAATACGGTTACGAAATAAGGGTAAACTGAGAACTTATTACTGTATTTAGCGATTCTAACATAGTAGTAATTTCAAAAGCCAGAGCTTAATAACTGGTTAGGAAACGTTTGAAGACAGAGGGTCAACTTATACGATTACAGAATGTAGATCTAATACTACTACTATGCTTTGACAGCATGAGACTATTAGGACTATTAGGAGTACTGAGTCAAAGATTTTAAAATCTGGATACCTAACAGTTTTATTAAAATGCTCGGACCATTTTGGAATTCGCATAAAGACACGTATTAATATAAGGTAGCGACCCGCTACAACGATCTATATACGTCAATAACCCCAATAACAAAACGAAATATATTATTAAAAATTGCGACGATATTCGATTCTCTAGGATCAATTGGTCCTATAGTCATGAGTCATAACGGAAAAAATAATTATGCAAAAATCGTGACAAAAGGGTATTAATTGGGACGAGCAATTACCGTTACCAATATTAAAACAATGGGAAGGATATTGGCAGGAACTAATCAAAATAAAACAGATTTCTATTCCAAGACGAATAATCGGTTGCGAATAGGGCGAAATGTGCAAATTCGCGACTTCGCAGACGCGTCTATGTTAGCGTACGGTGCGTGTTTTTACTAACAAACAACCTAATGAGAGGGCAAACATTACACACGTCCCGTGTTGCCTCATTGAAAACAATTTCTCTTGCACGATTAAAACAATTCTACATAGTTACCATGTTCTGCGGTATTATTAGTGCGCCTTTCAAAAAAAATAATTCCAAAATTATACATGAAAATAATACGTGAATATTATTGGTCTGAGTGGTCTGACTCGTCAATCGTATTGTCACGGATAAACGCAGCATCCTTTCGGTGGAAAACGTTCGTCGCGCATCGAGTTGGAGAAATACACGAAGTAATGGCCAACTTACAATGAAGACACGTAAAATCCTAGGATAACCTAGCCGACATATTATCTCACGGCTTTTAAAGGCAAATAAAAAAATCATTAATTAATGTAAGATATAGTTATAATATTACCACTTTATATTTATTGCATTGTTTTTTATTTAATTTTTATAGTGACATTTTCTCCATTGCACAAACATGATAAACAGAAAAACTACTTACCAACTTGACGTTGCACAAATCAATTGGTGTTTATCAAATGGTTGACCAACATAGTAAAAAAATATTCGATTTCAACGTATAC